TAGGGCTCATTTAGCTACCCTAGCGAACTAATTATTATGGAGCTACAAAAATTACAGTGAGAACCTCATAATGTTAGGAATTTACTATGAAAGTTTTAGAGTCAACACTATTCCCAATTTATCACAACAATTCCTACAAGTTTATATTTTAAAAATATTAAGCACCTCAAATTAATTAGATCACTCTTGAAAATACTATGAAACTATGTGAACAAAATATACTAGTAGATAGATCATGATTTTAGGAATGGAACAAAATTAGTTTCACAATTTTTGATTAACTATAACAATTTATATCGAATCTAAAAGCTAGTCTTAGAAACTAAATTAGAAACGCCTTAGAAAAAGAAAAAGGGCCGGTGGCCATCCATTTGGCCCAGCAGACCGGCTTGGCCCAATGCGGGGTGCGGGCGCGCAGCAAGCCAGCTCAGTAATGGCCCAAGGCAGGGAGCCCGCGCGCGCGGCTCTTTTGCAAAAGAGGGCTCAGGCTTTTACACATTTAATTGAAACAGCGAAGCACTATTACCGTAGACTCGCGTTTTGCATCAACGAGCTTGGAACATGTCACCTTCACCATGGGGCAGTCCTTGGCGTGCCCACGCGCGACAGCGCGGCACACCAATGGCAACGACGGTTACGCCGGGTAAACGAGACCCGCTACGACAGGAATAAAAGGCCAACCACCATCTACGGCTAAACCCACAAGGATGGGTGGCGGTTAGGGACTCAGCGGTGTACTGCCATGAGCTACAGCGGCGAGCGGCTATCCACGGCGGCGGCGTGCCAGTCCCGACGAGCTAGAGCCACCAGAGGTCTAACGCGTGAACGAGTGGGCATGAGGAGCTTACAACGAGCTTGCCCATGGTGATGGTTTGGTCAGAGGTGGTCCGAACAGGGCTGGCCACATGCGACTGAGCGGGGCGGCGGCGCTCTGTGATGGACACCGGCACATCACCCCACCGATGACGAGCACCCTGGGCAAAATAGCGCGAGCACCGGATGGAGGGAGTCAAGGCGAACTTAGGGTTATGAGCAATTGAACTATTACCGCTCCAACATGCCTTACCCCTAATCCACATACTACGACAGCACCCATGGCCTACGGCGAGCAAAACCTAAAATTGGCCGCGGCTAGACCACCGCTAGACCCGACAAGTGTGGGGCATCTAGGTAACTCTCCATATTACTTACTGGTACAAGGAATTGGGCTGGGAAGGGTTGAGTTGGTGATTATGAAGGGGAGAGGGCGGCTCATCGCCACTGCTACATCACGCGACGTGTCCCCGGTAGAGGTGACCTGGCCATGACCCGACAGGGTACGACAACGCGAGGACATGGCCGCACGAGCGAGGGCAGGAGGTGTATCGGTTAGTGCTTGGATGGAGCCAAGAGGGGTGCCAGCGCGTGGAGCACTAAAATGCAGTAGTTGGGCCAGAGCGAGGTTACCGGTGTCGGCTAGCGAGGCAGGGTGAGCAGAGAGGCATCACCGTCACCCTGTGGCTGGGGTCGGTTGACCCATATGCGGCGAGTGGCGACACAGACTCGTAGTAGGTGAATCGTAGGGCAGGGCGACTGCCACGCAGCCATGGCAACAACGGCCACGGCCTTGGCCTGACCCCATGCGCGGCTCAGCGATCAAGATGGCGCGCACGCGGCGACAGCGGGGGCACACAACAACAGCATCGCGATGACGCCTCGCCACATGACCGCGCAGCAGCTACACCGACGTAGCGCAGTGGCAGCCCTCCAGCATGGCGCAGCGGTGCGCGCAGCAGTGCTCGTAACACCCGTGTGCACGCGAGGCCAAGGCATGGCTCGGCCGGCCGGACACACAGCACAGGTGGCGACGGGACCGCCACCAGCAAGGTCACGCGCGACGGTGTGAGCACCCACGCGTGACGCCACACTCCCGAGCACGGTGACCGTGCACTCTAGGCCGAACAGTTAGACAATGTGCTATGCATGAACTTTAAAGCATCAAAACCAACCGCTTAAAGCCTAGTTGAGATTAAAACAAGAGTTCAAGATTCTAATAGGCACTAAGGGCTTCTCGTTCGAGCAACGAGCACGGCCGAAGAGTGAGCATCAAGGGAGATAGAAAGGTGCCAACATGGGTTCGTCATGCCGAGCATGGGTTCGTGAATGGAGCGCCAACATCCTGGCCACAACGCGTTCTTAGGATGTTAGGGCAATTTTTGCAACGCCATGGCAACTCCAACTCAACCGTGGATTACACCATGCGAAAGTACTCACTTAGAGGCAACCAACAATATGGAATCATGGAGCTAGTACTTAAGTATTTTAGTTAGAACTTAAATGCCAAGGTGACATTGTCTTCTTCCTTTCGGTCTTAGGAAGTCAAAAGTTCTTGAACTAAACATTCATTAACACTCTTGCCACAATTTTTAAAATGTCCAAACCTCATTAACTGCTACCAACAAGTATTTCATGCAATAGTCCATACCTTATACTAACCCATAGGAGCAAAATATTTAAGCACCATTTAACTATTTACTCAATATAATTCACCAAAAATAGCATTTTAAACATAAGTTCAAATTCTCGCCGATTCAACGAAAAGTTCTAATTTAATTTTTGGATTCGATGTTTGAGCTCCCAAAACACTGGTTAACACTATTCTCTTTTCAAACCTAAAGTTGCATTCTTATCTATACTATTTGCTCATCATTTTTACATAAGCACCATACACAAGTTATATTTTGTTTTTTTTTTGTTTACAGAAATTGTTTTTCATTGACCTTAACCTAGGTGCTAAGCAAGCTCGTAACACCAGAGGTGTTACACTTACCTGCCTCCACAAATTGCGTGTTGCCTTTCGCTTCTTTAGGTCATCATCGGACCTAGCGTATTGCCTCATTATCTCGAATAGCTCTTTGACAGGTGTGGGGTAGGTTCTGGCGAAATGAGCTGCGCACTGGCTTATAGCCAAACCCTCGACAACCGTTGCTATCACTGTTTCTTCTGGTGCGTTCGACACTTGCGCTTTGATTTGGATGAGTAAAAGAAACAGAGGAGATTATCAAACAATAACCACAGAGCTGAATGACTACTCCATAGACCGACTGGTTCACATCAGACCTTTAGATATGGTTGGGCAAGTAAATTTTAAAAATTATTTATAACTCATATAAGGATAATTGGCACAGCTGAGTCGCCACTCCATGTCTGAATTTTATCTACTCCATGTCTCAATTTTAGTATAGACTGATGCTTCATCAGAGCTTAGATGGATGAGCAAGGAAATAGAAGGAACAGAGGAGAGGTCATCAATCAACAATCAGCAGAATGACTACTCCGGTTCATAGTAGCCAAGTAAAATCTACATTGAGATATGAATGAAAGAAGATTACAGGCTATTGCCTAAGGGGGAAAATCAATTCATTGAAGCTAAACAATGCACTGCAATAAATTTGGCTGGAACCAGCAGGTGTGAAGTATTTCCTAATAAAATGACCACGTTAGTATACAATCACCAATATTTGCAGGAGCACAAGAGACCTAAAGAAAAGGATTAAATTTCTGGAGATGCACCTTCTCACCTTGTCATTGTGGCTGAGCATGTACATATGGATGTGTAGGAGGCCAAAAGAATATAAGATGATCAAAATCCTGAAACATTGTCCTTCGAAGCAATCTGTATTCAACATTTTGACTATGGAGGAGATGATTATTAGCGCATCGTAGGAAAGTTTCCATATTAATTCAGTGAGCCCACAAAACTGTATGGCAGCCAAGGTTAGTTTTTTCTCCCAGTTTCCAAAAGAAAAAAGAGGAAAAAGAGACCTTGTTTCTGCATCCTGTAGCCTGGCTACGGAGGAGATGATTGTTAGTGCCCAAAGGAAGGAGATTTAGCACAACCTGTCCACGCAGTAAAACAGTCACGTAAATCAGGCTGAATAAATGAAATCATGTATTAACTCGGGTTAACACAAATGGACGTATACCTGGCGGAGCCAAACTCCCAGAACCTTTTTCACAGGGCCAGCTTGGAGCCATACTCGCACAACCAAAGTCTATGCTGCGAGATATGAGCTTCATCATGATAGATAGAGTGAGGGCAAGAGAGAGAGAGGATACCTAGGAGTTTACCTCGTCGTCCACGCAACCGCCGCTGCTATCACCGACGAGCGTCTCCACGCTGGAGCAGGGCACCGCCGCCGGGGGCGAGGTTGGCGCTGGGCGAACGCGACCTGTAGCACAGGCAGCTAGGGGTACTGTAGCACATGAGCAAACGCGGAGCAGAGGGGGGAAAGAGAGGAGGGAGCGCCGGAGGGCAGCCACGTCGGTGGCCGCTGGTGGGGCCCACTTGCGCCGCGTCGTGGCCGAGGACGGGCGGTGCCGCACCGCGTTGTGTCCCGCCAACGCCTGGTGCCGTGAGGGCATGCCGCGACGCGAGGGGGAGAGGAGGAGGAGGAGGCCTGTCACAGCCGTCGTGCCCTAGCAGTGGCCGTCCCCGGGCACGGTGCTGCGCGAGGGAGGAGAAGGAGGGCCGAAGCCGTCGGCGCCCTGTGCGCAATGGGAAAGGAAGGGAGCGAAGGGGAGCGAAGAAGAATCTAGAATGAGAATTAGAAGCTCGCGTATATATTTTGTGGGCTGGCTCCGGAGCAGAAGCCGAAAAGCCAACGGAAGACAACAAGGAGCAGCAGAAGCCACTTCCGTTCGAATCCGCTTCAAGCATTCATGGCCACGTGATCTAGGATCCAAAGGCCGAAAACAATCGGGGTGACGTGGCGGCTACTTCTGCTTGAGGAGCCAACGCAGTCTATACAGGGGTAAAATGAAGCAGCCGACGTGGCCTCCCCCTCGCCCCAACTGCCCCGGCTCCCCTTGCCAGACATTGGTCTATGCACCACCAGTCTCCTCCATTGAACCACCGTCGCATAAAGCGCCTCCAGCCTTCGAAGACCGCGCCCACCACCCAAACGACGCGTACATTCCTGCCTTACCCTCCTACGCGCCGACGCTGTCCCACCGTCGAGATGCCGCCGGCGAGCCCAAACCTGGTCCACCCGTCCCGCGTGCGGGTCCTCCACCCGGGCGGAGGCCATATGCCCGGGCCGGTGGTGTACTGGATGCTGCGGGACCAGCGTCTCGCGGACAACTGGGCCCTCCTCCACGCGGCCGAACTCGCCGCTGCGTCCGCCCCCGCGGCGCCGCTCGCCATCGCCTTCACGCTATTCCCACGGCCCTTCCTCCTAGGTGCGCATCTCCGCCAGCTAGGTTTCCTCCTCCGCGGGCTCCGCCGCCTCGCCGCCGATGCGCACGCCCGCGGCCTCCCGTTCTTTCTCCTCGAGGGCGGGCCTGCGGAGGTGCCGGCGCTGGTGCGGCGGCTCGGGGCTTCGGCGCTCGTCGCCGACTTCTCTCCGCTGCGGCCGGTGCGGGAGGCATTGGATGCCGTCGTCCAGGAGCTGCTGCATGACGCTGCCAACACGGCCGTGCAGCAGGTGAGTACACTGGGATTCCGACAAAGTTTGAATCCTTCGAGTTGAATTGGGCGGAGCGCATTGGTGAGAGTGCTATACTGTTCACGCAGGTGGACGCACACAACGTAGTGCCTGTCTGGGCGGCGTCAGGGAAGCTGGAGTACTCGGCCAAGACCTTTAGAAGCAAGGTGAGCAAGGTGATGGACGAGTACCTGGTGGAGTACCCTGAGTTGCCGGGGTGGGCACCTTGGTGCATGGAGCAGCCGAAGGGTGTTGACTGGGATGCACTGATCAATAGCATCTTCAGGTGCGGTAGGGTGTTCATTTGTTGAATTGGTTGACAATTTTGTGTGGGCTGTAAATATAACATTGTTTTTACAGTTTAAAATATAGCATTGTTAGTGAGGGCTAAATGATTCTGCACTCTTGGAACAGTGAGGCCGAGAATGTGCCGGAGATTGACTGGTGCGAGCCGGGGGAGGCCGCAGCAATGGAGGTGCTTCTTGGGAATAAGGATGGGTTCTTGACGAAGAAGATTAAGAGCTATGACACAGACCGGAATGATCCTACAAAGCCACATGCATTGTCGTGCCTTTCACCATACTTACATTTTGGGCACATTTCTGCTCAAAGGTGTGCTCTGGAGGCAAAAAAACGCCGTCATCTTAGTCCAAAGGTACACTTGCTTAATTTTATGTTACTCTCCTAAAATAAAAGATTAAGAGCCATATTAAATGGTAAACTATATCTTTCTACCAGCTGAACAGCAAACCTTAACATTAGCATTAAAGATTGAATCCATCTGTCTAACAGTGAACTAATACATTACAAAGTACTGTGCTTTTGGATACAGTCAGTGGATGCTTTCTTGGAGGAGCTGATAATAAGGAGGGAACTAGCTGACAATTTCTGCTATTACCAGCCTCACTATGATTCACTGGCTGGTGCATGGGAGTGGGCTAGAAAGACGTTAATGGATCACGCTGGTGATAAAAGAGAGCATATCTATACGTAAGTTAGTTGTATGTGCTAATTACATTTATCTGCCTGCTTGGCATGACTAAGGCGAAAGGCTCATGCTTGACATGGCTATTTGTTAACTAGCATTCTATTTTGGCTAACAGGAGGGAGCAGCTTGAAAATGCCAAAACATCTGATCCTGTTTGTATTAGCATATTCCTTGTACTCTACTGAAGTTATTGAATTCATTTTGATCTACTTCCTGACTGGACTATGTGTCCTTCATTTCCCAACCTTTATCAGCTATGGAATGCATCTCAATTGGAGATGGTGCACCATGGGAAAATGCATGGATTTATGCGGTAACATAATCCATACCTATATTAATATATCACGGGTTGAGCCCATTTATGTGTTATTTGTTTTCTTTTGTGATGATAGGATAGTGTTGGAATTGCCTGATTGTCATTCCACATTGCTGGTTGAATAAAGAATTGAGCATTATTTGGGCTTCGTTTATCTACTTTGTTACAGAATTAGTGCATAACGCAGTCAATATTCATGCCCTGGCCTCCATCAGCCCATAGGCTTTACATACTTGTTGAATTGGTGACAATTGCTTGTGTTAAGTCTTCTCATGTACAGAACAAAGACATTCATATTCTGAGTAGACATGGATTTCTGTTCCTATTTGAACAATGTAGTCTTTCAATTATATTTGATGGAAGTGTGAGTTAGCATACCATGATCTTTGTACTATTTTGTTTATACGAAGTATTTTTCTAAGATCCCACCGATATGGGTGGAGTTTACTATGGAGTACTAACCTTTTGTATATTCTTGATAAGAGAAACCAATCCGAATTGTTTTTTTGCCACTTTTCCCCCAAGAAAGCATTGTATTCTGATCTTTATTTCTGCATTCATATGCTCTTTATAAGAGATTACTTTGTGTTGATACAGTAGTTTTCTGCAGAATGTATTGGGCCAAAAAGATTCTAGAATGGACTTGTGGACCTGAAGAAGCACTTTCGATAGCAATATATTTGAATGACAAGGTAAATTTAGAAGAATGTTTGAGATGCATTGTAGAGTTGTACTACTTTTATTTTTTATCATGTTGATGGAAAATTTGTTTTTATATTCACCAAATGTAAGAAAAATTGGGGGAAACAGAAACTACCTGTACTTTTGTGTTGGGTTCTATAAATTACTAATAACATTGTACTTCAAGAACCTGCAAATAACAAAATGTGTTACTGTATTATTTCCTATATGACAGTAACATCCACTTTGTCACCAACTAAAGTACACTTTCAGGCTTTCAGCTGCCATGCTTAGGATGCAGTAGTTTGAGACTTTAATGTTTCTGTGTGCTTCTGATTCCTGAAGCTGTTTTTGTCTAAGTTTTGTACTTTTGTCCCTCTAGTAGAGTTTATGATTTTAGCAGTCCAAGGTCACCAAATAATTATAGGCTTGAATGTGGTTAAGAATAGTTGTTTGTAGTACTATTTTTTATGCTAGGAGAAAAGACAATAACAGTTTACAGTTCTAACAATGAATAGTCACCATACTTTTCGAACTAAGGTCCACTTGATCTTCCTCCAATCTTAGTTGCTGTCTATCTACTATTTTAAATATTGTGCCATAATCCTCTTGGGGCAAAAGTATTTTGATAAATTGTTCAATGGTGAGAACGAGAACACCACCGTTCAACTGGACGACTCGTTTGATGACACTAACAGAGCGCTTTGTGCGGAGGATTCAAGAATCGGAGGTCAGAGAAGTCTTGAAAGGATGAAAGGAGGCAAAGCGATGGGCCATAATGGTATCCCAATCAAGGTTTAGAGATGTCTCTGGGATATAGCTATAATATGGCTAACCAAGATGTTCAACAATATCTTTCGATCGAACAAGATGCCTGAGGAGTGAAGAAGAAGCATATTGGTACCAATCTACAAGAACAAGGGAGATATCCAAAGTTGTACTAATTATCGGGCAATTAAGTTGATGGGCCACAATATGAAGTTATGGGAGAGAGTCATCGATCAGCGCCTGCGAGGAACGACGCAGATACCAACAAACCAATTTGGTTTCATGCCCGGAAGGTCAACCACAGAAGCAATCTTCCTAATAAGACAGGTTATGGAGCGGTTTAGAGAGCAGAAGAAGGACCTCCACTTGGTTTTCATTGACTCGGAGAAGGTTTATGACAAGATACCAAGAAATGTTATGTGATGGTCTTTGGACAAACATAAAGTCCCATCAAAGTACGTGACCTTCGTCAAGGACATGTATAACAATGTTGTGACTAGTGTTCGAACAAACGATGGTAACACAGATTACTTCCCGATTAAAATTGGACTTCATCAAGGGTCAGCCTTAAGCCTGTATCTCTTTGCCTTGGTAATGGATGAGGTTACCAGAAACATATAAGGGGATATCCCTTGGTGTATGTTGTTCGCTGATGATGTAGTGTTAGTGGACGAAAGTCAGGCGGGAGTAAATAGGAAACTAGAGTTATGGTGGCAGACCTTTGAGTCTAAAGGTTTTAGATTGAGCAGAACTAAAACCGAATACATGAGATGCGATTTTAGCGGAGTTGTACAGGAGGAGGGAGATGTGAGTTTGGAAGGTCAAGTAGTGCCTAAGAAAGATACATTTCGGTATCTGGGATCGATGCTACAGAGGGATGGAGATATTGATGCGGACGTTAGCCATAGAATGAAAGCAGGGTGGATCAAGTGGCGACAAGCTTCTGACATTCTTGTGACAAGAGGGTACCACAAAAGCTAAAAGGCAAGTTCTATAGAACGGCGATTTGACCGGCTATGTTGTATGAAGCAGAATGTTGGCTTACAAAGATTTGACATGTTCAACAACTGAGTGTTGCAGAAATGCGTATGTTGCGATGGATTTGCGGACACACAAGAATGGACCGAGTTCGGAACGATAATATACATGATCGCCTAGAGGTAGCACCAATTGAAGAAAAGCTTGTCCAACATCGGTTGATGTGGTTTGGCCATGTCCAAAGGAGATCTCCAGAGGCACCAGTGCATTGTGAAGTCCTAAGCCAAGCTAATAATATGAGAGGTAGAGGAAGACCAAAATTGACATGGGGAAGGCAATAAAAAGAGATTTCAAAGCTTGGGATATACCTAGAGATCTATGTTTGAATAGGAGTACTTGGAAAGCAGCTACTGAAGTGCCTGAACCGTGACTTTGGGCTCTTGGTGGGTTTCAACTCTAGTCTACCCCAACTTGCTTGGGACTGAAAGGCTATGTTGTCGTTGTTGTAATCCTCTTGGGGCAAAAGATGTTAAGATTGCCTCTGACAGTCTGCCAAGCAGCAGTGACTTTGTTAAGTTGGTTATTTATTTTATTTGCGTTTAGATTTAGAATTAACTAATTAAGATATGAAATTGTAAGCGGGAAAATAATATTGTGGGATTTGAAAACAACTAGATGATGTACCTGTAGTGCAGATACCTGCTGTCTAGTTCATTTCCCTGGTCAATAGATTTGATTTTGTAATAGCACTTTGCCTTAACGTATTCATTCAAGTTGGTTCAAAAGTATGTTATGAAATAGTCTAACTTTATCAATATTTTGCAGTATCATATCGATGGCAGGGATCCCAATGGCTATGTTGGTTGCATGTGGTCTATTTGTGGCCTCCATGATCAGGTTGGTGAACTTTGGTGGTTCCCTTCATAGGGAAGAACTGCAAAATCTTTGTCGATGTTTTTTAATCGTAATAGATTATGCTTCTATTTTTTAGGGTTGGAAGGAACGTCCGGTATTTGGAAAGATACGTTATATGAATTATGCTGGTTGCAAGAGAAAATTTGATGTTGATGCTTATGTTTCTTACGTTAAAAGATTGGTTGCTCAGGCCAAGAAGAGGAAAACCGAGGAATATCTGAATCCACGGTCAAAGAATCCAAAGTCTGACTTGGCTCAGCAGTTGGACAAGTCTGAAACATTGATATAATTTGAATTTGGTGCAGTCGAGTGATGTACTTATCTTTTGCTGGTAGATGTTAACACGGCAAACTGAAGAATAGACATTGTGCAAGATTGTGCTTTAGATCAGTTTGCCTCACTGATATTCTCATGATTTCTGATGATTGAAACTTAATAGCATTATCCAAGAGCAGTTTAACTTAAGTGCATGGATTTATTGTTAATACTGTACTGATTTGAAAACTATGCCAAAATGGAGATTGTTTCAGTTTTGTCCTAAGTCAATCTTATTTAATTTTGACAATTTTTAGGAAAAATATATTAACATCTACAACATGAAATAAATACATTATGAAGACATTTCATAATGCATTTTTATAAATACTAATTTGATTTTGTCGATGTCTGATTTTATTTTTAATAAATTTGGTTAAACTTTGGAAAAAAAAGACTATTTTAGAAACCAAACTAGCATTGTACTTTTGGATGATACGTGACACTCCTAAATTGATGTCTCGTATGCATTACGGAAAATTTATAATTAGTAATACGACGGTGTGCATGTGCCTTCGGATATTCTATAGAGGATGTGATCATTTCATAGAATTTTCTTACTTGTACTGACAGGACGGAATTCCTCATGTAATGATTCAATTTTCTGGATCCAAAGAAACCTATGCAAGACTGCATTTGACGTGAGCGCTCTATTTCTTCAAAATTCAGAGCGATTTATTTCCTTATACTTAGGGACGGAAACAGATCGAATATGAGATGATATATGTGGATGAGTGCAAATACTTTTTTTTACGGACTTAAATTCAGAAATAGATATCATGCCTATCGGATACAAATACGAACGGATTGTTTGAACTAACGGATACTCAGATCAGATCAGATTAACTCAGATCAGATCAGATTAACTAAAAAGCGGCAAATATCATCTACCGGCAGAACAGAATGATGCACTACCACCGATCGACAACTGTAATTAGCGTAAAAAACACCCACCACATCCCTGGTCGAATAGAAAGGAAGGAAGAAATAGAAAGGGCATCACGTCTTTGTTTCCTAAAATCCCGTCCCCATCCTTTCTTGTGCGGCGTGCTCCATTCTAAACTGCACTCCGTGATCTCCTGTTGAATGCAGCAGTGCAGTATCCGCCTTGAATTCATTCACGACACCCGTATGCTGTATGCATATGAACTTCTGTTGTTTTCTCCTATTTGTTTAAATATTTGATCCCCTCTTCTTTGAACGACGCAAGCCACTACTCCACATACCCATCATACCCAAAATGCTTGGAGGTGAATTGATTAAAGTGCCATATTAAAATTTCTCTTTCTTTCCTATAATTCACGTAGGGTCAAAGAAAGTTTTAATATTGTGCCAAATATTTTGGAGAGGTTTAAACGATGCCCAAAGATCCAACGGAGGTTTCAGATTTGAGGTTGTGATGTCCTTATGTGTACGTCGTCGTCAGATTCAAACTATCTAGCTATTTGGGGGCACTGCCGATTGCTTATGTCTCAGATTTGGATGCTTAATCCAATATTGCTCGTCTTTACAATGCACTTCTGACTGAAGGATATATTGATCCTAGGATTAAAAATCTATGTAGAAGAGATCCCAATTCAAGGGCAAAAAATCATGTCCGAATAGATAACATCAAGTTCAATGACCATGTGAGTAGACATTGAATTTTCCAGATTACTGCCTGTTCAACATTACCAATTATTGACCATGCTGCATTCTCAGCTTACAGTAGCCTGATTTATTCTACATCAGTAAAATATTGAGATGTTTAGCTTACAGTAAACTAACATTCTTAATTATTCAGATGTTTTTGCTTTGAAGTAGTTCTAAAATTGGTATCAATAAATTGGGTTGCCGTGTGAATCACGCACTGTGTTAATATTTGGAAAAAGAGCAAGCGAGAGGTGATACATTTGACCTTAGTTTGATGGGGCTCGCCTTGAAATGTTCCTGTCTAGCAACAACAAAGATGGTGAACTGTTCCCTATCTAGCAAGAGCACATTCGTCAGTCATATACTGAAACGCCTAACTGTTATGTTCGTTAGCTTTTTATCTGTGTTTGATCATGCTTTTGTTTTCAGATTATGCCACCAAAGTCTCAGGAAAACCTTTCCAATGCTCTGACTGATATTAATTTGCAGCGCTCCTGTTTTTGAGAATATTTTTGTATAACAGCAATAAGCTTCAAAATAGAGCATCATAATTATAGTTGAGTTTACGTTTAGAACTCCTTACATATTGTGACATAAAAGAATTTCTAAGCATTCGCCATTTGTTTCAGTAGTATAAAAAAACACCATTAGTTACAAACTTAACCATCCGCGTCAACTTGATCGCCACATTGTGGTCTGATTCAATCTACATGATAGGTCTCCAATTTTCTCTAGATTACCAAGTTCTCTTTTTTTTGGGGGGTGGGGGGTTACAAATACGAAAATAGGGACCTGTGCTACTGGTTCCCTTGTTTACAACCGTTGGGGCTAATTTTTCATTTGTCAACTTTAAAGTTGGTAACCGTTGCTGAATTAAAGTTGGCAGCATTCCATTTGTACTGCAATTTTTTCATAATTTCAGTCCATTAGAGGTTGATTTTGTTACTAACCTTGGAGAGCAGAGAGAATGAGAGATTCCATAGTAGAGATGACTATATATAGAAGCTTCATGGACCTATATTAGATGGGTCTTGGTATACTTAACACCTCCCTCCTTCAGACTCAAGGTGGAAGTGGGGGATTTGAAGCATTGAGTTTGATCAAGTGAAGTCGATGTTGCTCTCGAGTCTGTGCTTTAGTGAAAAAATCAACTAACTGCAACTCAAAAGGCACGTACTGAAGAGCAATGGTTTTTTGGTGACAATGAGATCGAGTAAAGAAGGCATCGACACTATTTAGCCGATGTGGGCATAGCAAACAGCCAAGGTCACGTCTGGTCAAAAACAATTCTACCAACTAGCATACTCCGATTTAAAGTGCTATCAGTGGGGATCGACCGGATCGTTGTAGCCATAATAGCGAGCGATAGACCAGATTCAACTATCTAGTAAACCTTCTCAAGATCAGACATGCCTTAGCCGCGTACTATGCACGATCAAGATCGAAGTAGAACAGCCGATAAAACATAATCCGTCGTTTAAAGTAAGAACCATCACAATGTGACAAAATAAACGATGGACTAAAAGGATATGAGGCCGATCTAGATCGATCTCGATCGGGCAGGTTGATATTGCTGCAACTAATGACAACAAGAACATCAACAAGATCGGTAACTTAATGAATCTACCCGAAGAATGCCACCCTTAGGCAGAGCCGATAACCTGACATTAATCTAATTCGAGCAGTGGAGGTCGAACTTAACCGATGCAGCCGTACTTGAACTAGGTAAGGATCAATAACTAACTTATACTAGAGCTCGTAAGAGGTGGGTCGAACCGATACAACCCTACAAACAAAAGTATAAGTCATGACGGTACTTACAGACAAGCCGAAGGTTGACCGATCGATGCAACTCTGCTTGTTGAAGAACTCGCCGAGATCTACAGTACTCCTACTCCTAAGGGTTTGCGTAAAGCCAAAAAAAGTAATTGGTATTGATTGATTGTATGATCCTCTTTACAATAGCCGGGGTCCAATATTTATACCGAACCTAAACATGAATCCTACTTAAGTATGACTCATTACAATCTTTGGTATAAGAGAAAACATTCCTAACTTAAGATAACTTGGACCCTAATCTTTCCCTTTTTTAGAGTCCGACATGTTTTTCCCAATGCCAACAGTAGCTCATTGACGTTATCTGCTGATGTCATCCGAAGAGAGCCGATCCCAGTACCGCGTCTGAATCAGCTGATATCAATCCTTATACAATCGATTCCTTGATGATACAATCTTGAAAGCTTCGAGTTCCCGCATTCTTCTTTCCAAAATTTGGTGTAAACATGTGCCCCCCAATTTTGGGATAAAAATGATTTTATTCTAAAATTTCTATTTACATGTTCACCATGTCACAACCGTTTATTCCGAAATATACACGTGACTCCTGATATTCTCGGTCCGAATTTTATATAATACCCCAACAGTATCATTTTAGATTCACTCGGCCCATTCGCTTTCGCCTTCTTCTTCGAGCGAACCTCAACAACCAAAGCCGCCACCACTAGAGCTCCAACCCTAGCAGTTTTCCCTCTGCTCGAGTTGTTTGTTAAGTCATTCCTCTGCAACCTTTTTTTGAATTCAGATCTATTCCAGCTAAAATGGCGACCAGTGACTACATCCCTAAGGCACGTCTCCGAATTTCTACCCTTCAACTATCAGCCACTACTCTGTATTTTTCTCTTTCTTAAGTTTATCTCATCTGACTTTGTAAGGGATGGAAAATGAAATTCTGATCCCTTCGTCTGTTGTTCCAAATGCTTATTAATTTGGACCCATGGGAGATGCTAATCCTTTAAATTTTATTAACCAAGAAACCAATCAAATTCCTTTTAGGCAGTCTTTGGTAGATCTATCTTCTTAGAACACCAAAAATCCCTTTAGGAATTGGCCCAAAATGCCTAAGGGGTGGAGAGACTGGTTCTGTAGAGTGTTAGACAAAAAGGACGAAGACTGGGAAGTTTATGATTTAAGCCAATGCCTAACCCTTTCACTGTCTAGAATGGAGAGAAATGATTCATTCATAATTGCCGCTTCTTACTTCTGGTCCAACACCTTGAATGCTTTCGTCTTTGGTCACGGCCCAATGACTATTACCTTGACCGATGTTTATATGTTGACTGACCTTAGAATATCATGACCAATGCAGTCATATGAACTCTTAGGTGCTGGGTCAAAGAAACTGGCCAAAATATCATACTGCACAGGATGGGCAAGCTACATCCAGAACCACATCGGAAATGAATCGACTGTTAGCGAAAGAGAACATGTGGCTTTTCTGAATATGTGGCTAGAAAGATTCATCTTCTGTGGGTCATCTTGTGGTTTGACTTACAATCACAAACT